AGTCCTCACTAGGTGTTGGGCAGCAGGCTGTGTGCTTCGTGTGGGATAAACCATGGAAGGCTCTCAAGAATCTCACAGATTAGATTCTGTTGTTATCTCCTTACACATGAGGAAACTGAGGTACAGAAGGATTTGGTGTCTTGTCCACAGACAGAAACTTGACTTATGCTAGGGCTGTCAGGGATTGTCCCCAGTCTCAGAGGAAGCAAGACTTTTCTCACAGAAGAAATGCCAAGATATCATGAGACATTGCTCATCTTTGAATCCCTCGGAACTTTTGGGTGACCTCTGCCAAGTCACTGCACCTGTGTGAGCCTCAGTTTCCTCTTCTTCATGGTGCCCTGCCACAGTCACGTCACATCACTATGATGCTCCATCCCAAAGAGGAAGCTGGGTGTGGGGGTGACAGTGGACGAGGTGTGTTGGGCATTAGGCAAAAGGAGAGCCTGTATCCTCCTATCACAGTCATGCCACCTTGATGACCTGGCTCTTGGGACAGGGTGGAGCTCACCTCGGAGGATTCTTGAGAAGTTCAAGGTGGGAAGGTTGATGTAAACATCACTCATCAAGTCCAGAAGGGCATCACGTTTGGTCCATGGGTCCAAGCTATTGCCTAGGTATTCATCTATGAGTGTAAGCATCAGCTCCAGGGGGATGTCCTAGGACAGGAGGCCAGGCTCAGGCCAGCACAGGTGCCAGAGCTGCGACAGACCCTCCCCAGAATTTCCACTCCCTCCTGTCTGACTCTCTTCTGGCCTTCATGTTTAGGAAGCTTTGTGACCATTTTTTGACTGCGTCACTTCAACTAGTCAACGAGCCTGTCTAAAAGTCAACTCCTGCCTGGCAGGGTTGTTTGGCAGTATATGTGATGTCACCAGCTCAGGGTCTTGTGTGGTGCAGGTACTCAGTTTCAGTAAGTGAAGGAACAAAGTCTGAGGGCTCCCCACAGCTCTAGGGAGCAGGGATGAGGATGTGTGAAGATCCTAGGGATAACCAAGAAGGCAAATGCACAAAGACTGAGCACCTGTGGGTACCAGATCCTTGGTATCTGCTCCCATGCAGCACTCAGTCTCCTTACAACATCTCTGGTGGATGGAATGTCATCCATCAGATGATGGTTATCCCTTGGGTACCAGATCCTTGGTATCTGCTCCCATGCAGCACTCAGTCTCCTTACAACATCACTGGTGGATGGAATGTCACCTTCATTTCCAGGTGAGCAATGGGCTCAAAAAGGAGCTCTGGTAGCGTAGTGGTTACGAATCGGGCTGCGAACCTCAGGGTCAGCAGTTTGAAACTACCAGCTGTTTCGCAGGAGAAA